TTTTTGTTGGGGTTTTTTTTTTTTTTTTGGTGAATAACATTGGCCCTGAGCTAACATCTGTTGCCAATCTTCCTCCACCTTGTATGCAGGACACCGTCACAGCATGGCTTGACAAATGGCGCGTAGGTCCACACTCAGGATCCAAGCCTGTGAACCCTGGACCGCCAAAGCAAAGCGCGTGAACTTAACCACTACACCACCCAGCTGGCCCTCATGTAGCAAATCTTATTTCCTCATTTTATAGACAACAAAACTGGGATTCAGGGAGTTTCTTGTCTAAAGTCATACATCTCGTACGCAGTAGAGCTGAGAGTTGAAACCAGGCCTGCCTGATTCAGAGCCCTGCTACTCGACATGCACACTGCTGCAGTGTCTGCATTTCATCCCCGTGCCCTAAACAAGTCATACCAAATGCCTTGCGCTCAGAACTTTACCACTGCAGCAACCTGAAGCTGCTCTAAAATCTCCTTTGGACTCCAACTTTTCCTAGTAAGAGGCTTTTTTATATGCTTCCAGCGTTCTTTTCACTACCTCCACAAGTGCCTACCTTCTTCCTAAACTCTACTCTCAATTCCAAGATTAACAACCTCTGACCTGACCCTCCTTCAGACCTTACAGTCTTCCATGCCTCCTTTTCTCTCTTCATTGTGGATCTGATGAATGGCCTGGATTAGCTCTCTACAGTAGACACATGGCACCCAAGGAAGAATCCCATAGTCTTCTATCATCTGAAGAAATACTATAATACCATCACAAACTTGGATTGCTCAGACAATTTCAGGGACACCTTATGTCTTAAGCTGTATTGTAATTTGCTTTTATAGTAAAGAACATGTGAAGGGGCCGGCCCGGTGGTGCAGCAGTTAAGTTTGCACGTTTCGCTTCAGTGGCCTGGGGTTTGCCGGTTCGGATCCCAGGTGCGGACATGGCACTGCTTGGCAAGCCATGCTGTGGTAGGCATCCCACATATACAGTAGAGGAAGATAGGCATGGATGTTAGCTCAGGACCAGTCTTCCTCCGCAAAAACAGGAGGATTGGCGGCAGTTAGCTCAGGGCTAATGTTCCTCAAAAAAAAAAAAAAAAAAAGAACATGTGAAGAATATTTTTCCATGCCATAAATATATATTCTCATCTTTAACAGCTGCATTATATTCATTTATAGACATATACTCTAACCTTTTAACCAAATCTCTATTTATTAGATACGCCAATTATCAGGTTGTCACGATCATAAGTAATGAAATAGAGTACATTCTTGTACATATATCTTTGCCCTTCTATCTGATTGTTTCCTTAAGGCAAATTTCTAGAAGTAGAATTGCTACATTAAAAAGTATGTATTTTTAATACTTTTTGAAACACATTATCAATTTGCCCTTCCAAAACATTGTACTAAATAATTTTTTACAGTTTGCTTACATTTACAAAAATAGTACATGCTCACTGTTTAACATGCAAATAAAATATCATCCATGTAGCATCACTACCAAACACTGTTAACAATCAGACCAATCCAAACTGAGGGATATTCTGAAAAATAACTAGCCTGGCCTCTTCCAAAAGGTCAGCATCAGGAAAGACCAAAAAAAGGCTGGGAGATATTCTAGATTAAAGACTAAAGAGACTTGACAACTAAATTCAATGTACGCTCCTTGAGACAACTAGAGGAATGTGAATATGGGCTACATATTAACTAATGATATTACAGCAGCATTACATTTCCTGAGTATGATCACTGTTTTAGAGTTACGTAAGAAAATGTTCTTAGCAGATGTATACTAAAGTATTTAGGGAAGGAAATGTCATGACATCTGCAGCTAACTCTAATGGTTCGGGAAAAACATTAGAGATAAGCAAACATGGCAAAATAGCAACAATAAGGAGATTCAGAAGAAGAAGAAAACAATATTCATTGTGCTACTCTTGGCATTTTTCAGTAGATTCATAATAAAATATTGGGGAATAATACTTAAAATTTTTTAACTCAAATATTACAAAAATGTACAATTTAATAAAGCCAATCATAATCTAACCCCAAAGGTAGTTATTTTGAATGGTTTAGTGTATAATATTCCAAATCTTTCTTATGTATATACTAACATTATATGTATATAAGCTTATGTATCTTTTAAAATAAAAATACAATTGTATCATGCACTATTCTGCAACTTGCTTTCATTTAACAATACAACTTAGGTATCCTTCCACATCAGTACATCTTACTTTTTCAAGAAACAGTATTAAGCAACATAAATGAACATTTACTGAAGCAGGAGTAGCCACTGAAGGATAATGCCTACACTGGGGACCTGAGCTAGAGAGAGCTCACCCGAAATTCCATGACATCCACAAACGACTGGTAGTAGTTGGTGAGAAATCTAATTATCTCAGCTTTTTCCCGATGTACCGGTCCTAAATGTTGCTAAGAGAAACACAAAACAAAATGAGATTTTTTAAAAAACACAAAATAAGAAGACAGCTGATCAAAGTTACCCAAGAAGAATAGGGGTTATAACTAAAACATTCTTAAAGAAGCTTGAAATATACTGACAGAGGAAGTTGGAAAATCTCCAGTACTCTGAAGGTCTTTAAAGAGACAAGATTGTCTACGTAGGATGGTTGCAAGTGATCCTGACTAGGTATAGAGTGCTAAATGAGAGGAAATTTCAAGGTCCCTTTCAGCCAAAGAGGTTTACTATTTACATCAAAGTCAAAAGAAGCAGAATGAGAAGATGGTACAGATAAGACGGTAAGAAATCTAGGGCTAAAATTTAACAAGGGAGAAGTAGGGGATATCCCACTAGATGCATAATCCTAAAACAATAACAAGGAAACACTGGGCGGAAAACAGGAAGAACAATAAAATCTATGCGCTCTGCTGGGTTGATAGAGCTGTCTTCCTCCATGAAAACAGTGTTCTCACGAATCTTGCAATGGAGAAAGGGGCAATGCTGTGCTCTAGTTTACCCTGGGAGAATCCCATTTTATCTCAGAATTCTTGAGACTACAACAAAGTGAAGCCCTGTGGTTGAACCTAGGAAAACTAAAAGAAGGCTACACCATCCTCTGCCAAGTTCAAAGAGAGGCAGTCAAAAGAGGAGAGTTTGAGCCATCCAAGCATAGAGTTATTTCAGAGAAAGGAGAGAAGAGGGATTGCATCCTCACCGTGCTGTTTCGGACATCTATGTTGGGAAATTTCTTGTTGATGTACTTGAGAGACGATTCCATGGACTTTTCCAGTAAGAAAGGTGGCTTGGATTTGGGGTCCGAACAAGTCTGCACAGATAAACCACACTATAGTTCAACCCTTTCTCCTGCCCCTCAGAAACACACCTCTTCCTGCATTATTCATTCCCACACAATCTCTCAAGGGGAAAGAGGGAATCTGGGAATCAATTATAAACGCATAAGATAGGTCAGGAACAAGCTCCAGGACATGAAGCCAACTATCAGAAGAGCTGAATAACCCGGGCATCTTGCTTGCCGGGTAAAGCTTAATGTCTGCTCGGCCCCAGCATAAAGAGGAAGCTCGCTCCCCACCCTCCGCTGAAGCCGGAAGGAGTGAGGCCAGCAGCTGCTCAGGAGTTTGACTTTATGGGGGACTCAGTGTCACCTTTATGTCCATTAGTATCTCACCCCAGAGGGCATTTACAGGAGACATGGGGCCAGAAAAATCTGGTGATGCGTTTTATTACAAAATACACAGAAGTCTGCTCTCAAGTCCCCTATTTTCTCTTTACTTCCCTAGGCCCAGCCCCAGTGACCTCTTGCCACCAGCTTCTCCCATTCCCACAGTTCCCAACCTAAACACACACATACACAACCACAGCATGAACTGTCCCAGAAGCACCTCAGAAGGCACCTACCCTTTTTTAATCTAAATATCATATCTATTTTTTCCTTTTAGGGGAGTACTTCCACAGAAAAGTTTTTGCCAGAGACCAAACTTTGGATATCTTCAGAGTATGGGGGATCAGCAATAAACAATGAGACCCAGAATCCTAGACCCCAGACCTTTATCCAAGTGACTCAGAACACAATTATTTCCCACCCCAGCTCTACCCCTAGACTCAGCAGAAAGCAGACATTCTCATTGGGGCAAGAATCACACCTAGAAAGGGGAGCCCCTGAAAGAAAGCCGCCTCTTCCGCCCCCCAGCACCGGCTGGCCTGTATAATCGAGTGACTGAAGGCCAGTTAAACCAGTGGGACAAAGGAGGCCTCAGGGGTCCCCACCCTACGATTGCTGGAATAATCAGTCCTAGTCTAGCTGCTCACACTTACCTTCTTGATGTTATACATACGGATGAGAACCCCCTGACCTCGATCGTTCAGGATGGTGAGCTTCTCTGCTAACTTATGCTGGTAGGCAGAGGTCAAAGACATGATGGCCACCGAGAGACAGGAGCACCCGGACAGCAATGCCTGATCTCCCCAAACACTTTCAGCTTGGGTGGTAACACCCTCTGGGCAGAGGGACCCAGCCTGGTTGGTGCGCTGGTCTTCCTGTTGCCTCTGCAATTGGCTCATGGGCAAAAGCAGTCATCACAGCTCACAGGCCCTCAGAATCTTCTTGTGCTTCCTCTTGCACACTCGGCAGGCGAGACTTCCTCTTTCTAGCTGTGCAGCATTTTTGGTAAGGCTGTGAAATGGGCGGAGGTGGAGAGGGACAGGCTTTCAAGGCTCTACACCATCTGGTACCAACCTTTTTGGTCTCACCCCTCCACCAGTGTCCTATACAAAGATCTACACCAGACAAACAAGCATCCACCACCCCTCTCCCATATACCTTTACACTTTCCCTCTTTTATATCACCATCAAGAATACCTATGTCAGGGCCGGCCCCGTGGCTGGGTGTTTAAGTTCTCGCGCTCTGCTCTGCTTCAGCGGCCCAGGGTTTTGCTGATTTGGATCGTGGGCACGGACATGGCACCACTCATCAGGCCATGCTGAGGCGGTGTCCCACACAGCACAACTAGAAGGACCTGCAACTAGAATATACAGCTATGTACTGGGGGGCTTTGGGGAGGAGAAGAAAAAAAATGATTATCAACAGATGTTAGCTCAGGTGCCAACCTTTTAAAAAAAAAAAAAAAAACACAGAATGCCTATGTTATCCTCTACTGAACTTTAGGCCCATCCACATTTAGGGCCCAGATCAAATCTTAACTCCTCCTAATTACCCCACCCAATGTCAAATATTATCTTTAACATTGTATTCCTTGTTATATTTTTAAGCATATGTCTTATCTTCCCCAACTAGGTCATTAGCTCCTTAATGACAGGAATTGTATCTAATATTTCTTTATATCCCTCAAAATGCTGTAGATCAGTGATTCTCAAACTGAGGTCACATTAGCATCACCTGGAAACTAGTTAGACATGCAAATTCTCAGGCCCCACCCCAGACCTACTGAATCCAAAACCCTGGGCTAGGCTCTAGCACTCTGCGTTCCACCAAGTCCTCCAGGTGATTCCAAAGTACTCTCAAGTTTGAGAACCAACGCTCTAGTGCAATAATTCTTAAAGATGCTCAGGAAACTGAGATCAATTCTATCCCCTGAGATTCAGGATTGCTAGGTCTGCAGTGGGGCCTAGCAGTCTGCATTTATAAGCACCCTCGGAGGTTTTGGTGCAAATGTTCCATAAGACACATGTTGAGAAACACTCATCTAGAACACCACCTCTTGGACAGAGTAGCCACTCAATAAATACACCGATTTACTTGTTGAATTATCAAGACTAAATTGGGAAATAGGCCCCATGAAGAAAAACCAAATTAACTGAGATTAACAAGGAGAAATTAACAATATACTTTAAATCTGAGAAGGCTGGATGAATTTTAGCACTAAAATATTCCTGCCATTCTAATCAGGACTTAACTCCCTAACTCAAGAAAACCAACTCACTTTCAAGTTTCTTCCTAGGCAAAAAGCAGAAGATCTTCAGAAAAATTCTAAATCTTCACATTCTAAGTCTTCATATTGACCTCCTTTCCAATACCCTTTCCCCGCTTTTCAACCATTCCCACTTTCCATACCCACATCTCACAATAAATCCTGGGACAGAGCCAGGGGGGAGCTGATTAGCATTATTATTTAAGGAACTTAATATGTTTGCTCCCAAGAGAATGTATTTTTTAAAGAAACAAGAAGATGGAAATGCTTAACACACGAAATTTCAAACGTCTCTAAGGGAGACTGCACTTTTTGGAAAATAGAATCTGCCATTGACTGGATTGTGTCCCTAGCAAGCAATGGGCCTAGCGTAAGGTGATATCGGTCATGAAGATATGAATCACCTGCTGTGACCAAAGAAACCCAGGTTCCACTAACAAGATTTGTGGGATTTCTATTGGTCTTTCACCTTAATGGGGGAGAATAAAGAGCAAGCAGTAAGACGCTAACATCCAGGAAGCTAAGCCGCAATACAGCAGCCTTCTTACAGATTTGTATAGTTCTACTGGGTCTTTCTCACTTGCGTTTTTATCTTCGTGCTAAAAATTTTGTTGAAGACCCTCCATACCAAGCCTATCTTATTTTCTGCTGTCCCCTCATAGGCACTCCCCAAGCTAGTGGGGACCACGTGAATGTGCCACGTTCATTTCTGCCTTTCTCACGTAGATATGCTTTGCCTCTTGCTGACCCAAATCCTAAACAATTTTCTGGATCTAGCTCAAAACAGTCCCAAGTCCAGGCCTCGCTGAACTCCTACAGTTTGGTCTATACCACATATTTTAACTCTAAATAGGGTTCCACCTTTAATTGCCCATTTCATATTATGCTGAACTGTAAGATTGCTGGAGCCTGGGAACACTTATTTGCATGTACTTGGTATAAAGGAAAAGCCTACATTTTTGGCATCAGACAGAAGGTGGGGCTTAAGTGTAGTTGAGTACAGTGGGGTGAGCCTTATGACTTAGAGGCTAAGAGGCCAGGTTCTGGAACCAGATAGCTTGAGCTCACATCCCAACTCTATCACTTAGCAGCTCTGACTCAGTTTCCCTGTCTGTAAAATGGAGATATTGATAACAGTTCCGGTCTCATAAGGATATTTTGTGTATTAAATAAGTTACTAGATGTAAAGTGATGACCTAGTTATTTATGATATACCAGATACTTTAAGTGTTCTATATTTATTACCTCAAATAATGTTAATAATAGTACTCAAACACTTACCAGCTTTGAAACTTTAGGCTCTCACCACTGAGTTGGTTTCCTAATCTATAAAATGCTGGTAATCCCTCATACAACTGTGGAAATGATTACTATATGAAATGTATATGTAAACATTTGGTTCAAGACCTGGTACTCTAGATTAGGAATGCCAAAGACAAAGAAAACTTTGATTTTTTTTTTAGTATGTAGTGAGCTTATGTTGCTTTCTGTGGAATTCCATTTGGCACCTCATGAAGAAAAAGGCCAGGTTTAACGATGGGACTAATGATGCCAACTGGTATTGTTGAGAGAAACTTCATTGGAAAGATATGTGGCAGTTCCTCCTGGAAACTGGAGGAACCCTTCTAAGGGTAGTTTAATTACCCCAGAGCAGGGTCTAGTAACACTGACTACAAATCAGAATCCCCCATGGAACTCTTTTAAAGCCACAGTTAGCCAGACCCCATTCATGAAGGTTCTAATCCAATAGTTCTGGAGTGGGGCCAAAGGATTTCTCACTTTAAAACTACTCAGTGATTCTCATGCACAACCAGGCTTGAGAAGCTCTTCTCCAAGACTTAACTATAACATCGAAAATTTCCAAACCCCTGAGAAACCATAGAACATATGGTGGGAGAAGAGGAAGTGAGTGGCTGGAACAGAAAGCTGACTCACATCACTGGACGGAAAGGCACCGTGCTTTCCCACTCCTCAGAGCTCAGCTATTTGCCTTGTTTTGCCTTACAGGATTGTCTTCCTCTTCAAGTGACCCTTCCCTTTGGATTCTTGAGAGACACTGCTTCAAGAATAAGGTAGGTCTCAAGAGCCTTAGACTAGATTCAAGTGTCAAGGTAGCATCAAGGTTGGAACATTCTTGCCAAGTCTAACACACATTAAACCACATTATAGTCATGGCCTTCCTACACAGGATATTCAGCTATTAATAATTAGGTGAAGGATCCAAGGTCACCAATTCTCACTGACTATTCTGAAGCATTCTGTTTATTAAAACCAGCCTTATGAATCTGGTCAAACTTCATACTTTTCTAAGCTGCTGGCTAAAAGAAGGGTTTGGAGTTATCTAAAGGCTACATTTAGGTATTAAAGCTCTTTTTCCATTATCTTTACATCTAAAAATAACTATATGATATTGGATTATACACAGCCTTCTACTTTCCACAGAGCCAATTCACTTCATAATAAGTGTTCATGGCTCTAACATAATCATTAATATGCAGTGTAAACTTTAAAGAACCACCGTGGCCTGTATTCCTGAAACGTATCTGAGTCTAAATCCCTGGGTTTAATCACCTACATGCCCTCAGGAAAAGCTGACATTTAACCATCTAGCTCTGTGCCCTTCGTCTATGCCCTAGGCATGATGCAAAGCAGAATGGAAATGGGCTATTCTAGGCACTTTCTATCCCTACTGCTTATGCCAGTCTGCCTTGATCTTTCCTCCCCCTGTCAGACTATGCTGTCCCTGCTTTGCAAAAATCTTAGCTGTAGCTGTTGCCCACAAACTTGGGAGCCTTGAAGCGAACGTCTGCTGGGGTAGCTAAAGACAGCTAGCCATAAGGGGAAGTAGGCCTCCTATTGGCAGTAAATGCGGCAGATTTGAGATGGTGTATTCTTAGTTCACTTCTAGAGTCTTCATATGTTAATACCTACAACTTGAGAGATTTCAGGCTGGCCTTCTCAGAGAATTATAAAGTAGCCTGAACCTGAACATAGTACTGTTCACTCTTCCAATCCCCTCTCCCCAAAAGTGGCTATGCTGACCTATCTGGCAAGTAGCACCCTCGTCTGGCAAAGAGCTTAACTCAGATTTGGTGAAGAGATGGAAGGGAGCAATGCTGAACAGTGAAGGAACCAGCTGCCCCAGCCTCGCTTTCTCCAGCACTCAAGCTTATAGTGTTAAACTTCATCTTACCCGGGTGCTGTGAGTTTTCCAAGGAACCCTACCTGTTTAATGCTCCAGGGGCAAAGCACTCTATTAAAAACAACCTGTAAGACCAAAAAATATGTACAAATGTTAATTTTTGGTCTTCCAAGGCATATAAGCAGTGAATTTCTCCTATTATCTAACTGGCTAGGCCATTGCTTTAGTGATCCAAAACTTTCATGGGTAAGATTCAAGATACCTATATCTTTCATACGACTTTCTTTTGAGAACAGAAAATAGGCCTATGTCAAGACTACTGGTCTTAAATATCTTTGCCAACCCATGTTTCCTGCTATTTAGGCCTTATGGAGCCAGAAGCCTTAGAAATATGTCCTTATGTCCCAAACCACAGAATGCCAGCCAGCAGGTTACAGTACCATCTGGCAGCATGTAGAAAGGTAAGTTTTCCTGATAAGAACTAAGTCACTGGAGGGAGAAAAGTAAGCTCCTACTATAAAACGTTAAAGACTTTTTTAAAAAGAATAAGTTTCTGACCATACATAGCAGCTTTCAGTTCTTAATGTTGGAACGTGGTATGTCACAGCACATCCAGAAAGGAATGGAGGGTGGAATACATGAAAAACCTAACAGCCATTTAACAAGAACTTTTTCCTTTTAGAAAACTCCAAAGAGAGTTAAAAAGATGGCTAACTGCAAATATAATGCCTGTCATGTGGTCCCAATCAAAAGGCTCAAGGAACATGAGGCTACGTGTGTTAACAGAACTGCTATAGATGATGGTGAGTTTTTACTTGGCGGGGGGGGCGGTGGATAAGTGGTGTCAAGTTCTGTTGTCCTCTGACCTCCATGTTTTACAGCTATGGAAGTCTTAGCCAAATGAGGGGAATAAAAAACAAAAGGAAGTTTCTACCCTGTTTCTATAACTTCCGGGCTGCTTTATTTCAGAGCCATTTAATCTTCCAAAGGTTATTTCTCCAAGTTTGGAACCAAATGAAAAACCTTCTAATGCTGCCAATCAGATTCTCGACCCTGACATCTGGAATGTAGGTGAGCAATGACGAAACAGTGAACACAGTCCTAAATGAAGGCTTGGACCCTACATCCTTCACAGCTAATAAGAATTGTCTTAATACTCCTCCCACAAAATCCTTCACCAAAACAATCAAAACAGTAAATCTGAAAATTTCATCTGTCTCTGCAGAGGCAAGCCAGTAAAAAGGAGTCTAATTAAAAATCTAAATTCACTTACAACAGTTAAAAGATTTTTCTTATCTTACAAATATCTGGTCACTTTCCATAGGAAAAATTACTGGTACAAACTGAATCTTGTGATCTGAAATGTTGGGATTCATCCTATCTCAGGTGACATCCTTTCTCTAGGATGCAACATGTTACAATAGAGAATTCACCAGCTATTCAGTCAGATCTAGCTTCAACCATACGCTCTGGCCTTAAGAGAAAGTTACTTCTCAAACACATCTTCCTCATCTATAAAAGGAATATTTATCTTATAAGGTAGATTAATATTAAATAAAAAGGTATGTTTTAGAGCAACGCAAGCTCCTTTAACAGGTTAAGTCCAAATTGTGTTAATATCATGGTTTAATACAACAAAAGTTTTCCTTGTACATAATCCCAACGCATGTATTCAGTGGAGGTGGTGATTCACGAACACAGGCTCTTTTCATCTTGTGACAGTCACCTTCCACAGTTGGCTTCCCAAACTGCCACAAAAAGAATGGAGAAGGTACAGCTGCCTCTGAACCACCTCAGCCCAGAAGAGAATACTTCCACTCACATTCCATTGGCAAAAACTAGTCACATGACCATACCTAAATGTAAGAGGGTGGGAATGTAGTCCCTGGCAGAGCAGCCACTTCCCAGCAACAACTATGGAAGGGAGACTCAAATCTCTGCTCCCATCTGGGCTTCTCTGCAACAATATAAAAATGCTTAGGGGCTGGCCCTGTGGCCGAGTGGTTAAGTTCGCGTGCTCCACTGCAGGCAGCCCAGTGTTTCGTTGGTTCGAATCCTGGGTGCGGACATGGCACTACTCATCAAACCACGCTGAGGCAGCACCCCACATGCCACAACTAGAAGGACCCACAATGAAGAATATACAGCTATGTACCAGGGGGCTTTGGGGAGAAAAAGGAAAAAATAAAATCTTTTTAAAAAAAAATGCTTAGTACTTGTTACTTCTTCCTCCTTTCCTTCTTTCTAGATGATACATTTCATTCTTCATTTGTTCTTAAGATATTTACTCCAAAGCTGCTGGCTTGTGAAAGGTAAGATAAGTCATCTTATAGAAGTTATTGGAATAGAGAGCAGAATACCTTTAAGTTGGACTCTTAAAGTGAAATGGCCACAAACTCCTAGGCATGGCAAATGCCTAAGTTTCCGTTACAAATTTTAAAAGAGCTGTATTCGTGGGCTCTCAGTACTTCCATTCCTTCTCTAAGGCTCCACTTAGGACTTTAATCCATCAAGGACTTAATTACACAGGGTTCTCGATTCCATGTAAGAGTTTCAAGGAATAAAAAACCAATTCCTAAAACTATGAAGGGGAAAGAATTAGTATACCCTACATCAATCGGATCAGGATCTCCAACCAAACAGACTTGAAGGGCACATCCAGGAGTTAGAGGAGCCATCAATGAAGCTACCCACCACATACACCGGGGAAGGGTGGGGGCAAAGGAGCTACATAAAACTGAAGCTGGCAAAAAAATCAATAATTCCTATTCTGACATTTAGTTACATCAACTATTTTTGATAAAGTAACTTTAATCTCCTAGAACTAGTTATCTAGACTAATTCTCTAGTTCTGGTTTTCAACTAAAATTCCTCTTTTGGTCATGTCCTACAGTGACTCAAGAGACATAAAAAAAGAGACTTTGGATGATAAACCTCCTAACAACCATAAGTCCAGGAGAAAGGGTAGAGTAACTTTTTAAACTAATATCATAGTTTTAACATATATTAACATAGTTTTTAATGTATTAACATAGTTTTAACTAATATCACTAATCTTGTATTCTAAATCTTCAAAGATCCTTATATAAGCTTTCTTTAAAAAATAAACATATTTTCTATTCTAAGTCCTCCTCCCCCAACAGCAGAATGCAAGGAAATTCCTGATGGCTTTAAATCAGACTTTGGAGAAAGAGCTGTCTAGAATTCTATTTGAAATGCCACTAACACATCAAGCTTAAGTCTTCCATAAAAATACTTGCTATCAAAATGACACTATCTCAATGTTCTCTTTCTACCCGTAGGTCAGAAAACCTGATAGAGAAGTTGTGGATTAAAGAGCCAGAAGATGGAAGATTTATTACTAAGTCTTTTCTAAAACTTTGGGAAAATCTTAACTGTCAAGTTTTAGGTAACAACTCTTGTCATTGTTGGCATCTTGAAATGTTTGTACTTATTTAAATAAAGAATATTTTTCCTATGACAAGCTTCATTTGGCTTTTTATTCTTCCTTGTTTTTATATCCTCATTTGTCAACCAAAAGGTTGGAGGGCTTATTTGCTTATTCCCCTTAGTAGGGGAAATATAGTCACCATGTGGACTAAAATGTTGTTCCTTAACTAGGTTCTTTATCTTATTCTTTTCTCCTATCTCCAAGTCATTTACTATCTGACCATATTAACCTTCTTCAGTTAATTCTCAGCACAAATCTTCCATGCTTAAAGGATATAGTTCTTATGACAAGCTGAGTTTGAAACATGGCTCCAAACCTACCTTCCTAACTACGTACAAGTCGGTTTACTCCCATTTTAAACATGCCTTATTCTTTTTCACTCTGTTCATTTTAAAATGTCACCCCCTACCCTTCAACCATTCAAAGCTTTTTTCTAAGTCCAATTCTTTTTTTTTTTTTTTTAAAGATTTTTTATTTTTTCCTTTTTCTCCCCAAAGCCCCCCCGGTACATAGTTGTGTATTCTTCGTTGTGGGTTCTTCTAGTTGTGGCATGCGGGACGCTGCCTCAGCGTGGTCTGACGAGCAGTGCCATGTCCGCGCCCAGGATTCGAACCAACGAAACACTGGGCCGCCTGCAGCGGAGCGCGCGAACGTAACCACTCGGCCACGGGGCCAGCCCCTCTAAGTCCAATTCTTAATCCTCACCTCATTTAAATCAACCCTGTCTCCAACCTCAACCACACCCCTTCATGAGACAAGTCAGAATCACGTGCTGCTCCATGTTTGCTACAGCACCAGCCTGGTGCTGTGTATCTAGTAGATGTGCAAATATTTGGTGCTTAAAATGAACTATGACCCAATTTATAGCAGGCCAAAGTTAGTTCCTCTTCAGCTGTAATTTTTTTTATTGCAGCTAGCTAACCCTTTTTAAAAAAAGACTTTGGGTTTTGCTAGCTAACTGAGTAGTTCAGGTATATTTAGACTTACAATTAAAAGTAGAAGTTGTAGTTAGATGAACATTTTCTGCCCTTAGGAGTCTTATCCCTACCTAAGTATTTTCTAGATCCTTTTTAAATGACCTTTGTTCTTCAGTTAAAACAGAAAATAGAAGGGAGGAACACTAGACATTTAGTATCTAGCCCATTCTAGTATACTTTGTACAAAGGGGGCTGTTGACTTTCTCTAGATTTACATAATATAAACAAGATTTACTTATATCTCTGGACTAAGGCCTTACACATATTTTGAATTTTTTAAATTACACTTTGGTATAACACCAGACTATATGAAAACAATGTTTCCTAGGAAAAATGGCCCCCCAAAATAAAGATATCTTCCTTTATCGTGTTTTAAGATATATAGAATCTTCCCCTAAAAGGCCATGCAGTCTTAATTAGGGACCATATAATTTTTCCTCCAAACCAGGAAACACTTGAGCATGAAAGGGAGAACAATAATTATCCTGGGACAACCAGACAAACCAAGTCGGCCACTCAAATCTTAAGGGATAAAACATCACTTATTTCACAGTTGTGTCATTCCAAATATGGGAGCCAGATCTACTCAAATCTCGATTTAAGAAGTTTTGAGCCCCTTGGAAGAAGGCACAATAGAAACTAAAACATCACTTTCTTGCCTTCTAACACAACATTTGGTCAAAGCTTCAAAAAGACCAAATTTATGGAAAAATACTTTAAAAAAAAAAAAAGGAAAGTTTGGAGCAGGCCCTGTGGCCAAGTGGTTAAGTCCTCATGCTCCGCTTTGGTGGCCCAGGGTTTCACTGGTTCGGATCCTGGGCGTGGACATGGCACTGCTCATGAGGCCATGCTGAGGCGGCGTCCCACACAGCACAACCAGAAGGACCTACAACTAGAATATACAACTATGTACTGGGGAGCTTTGGGGAGAAGAAGGAAAATTAAAAGATTGGCAGCAGCTGTCTGCTCAGGTGCCACTCTTTAAAAACAAAAAAAAGGAAAGTTTAAAAGTAATTGCCTCAAAGCCTGCCCACATTCCCCAAGTCCTAACTATTCCCCCATGCTGCCATAACAGGTGGCTTACGTCTCCATTTACTCCCCTTTCACTCTGATTTATTATTAAATTATAAGATGCTTTAGCAGAAGCATGATATTGACTATGTACTAGTCCTGTGCCCACAAAGAAAATCAAAGTTGTGGAATGTGGATAATCTGTACTTAATAGACATGATGGAGTAAAAAGAGACTCAGTAGTCTGGGCTAAATACTTATATTGAATAAGTCAACCTTTCATAAACCTTGGTAGCCAGGTTCACTCATTTTCACCAAAAAGTCCTATCAAAGCAATTTTATTTATGTAACAGTAATAAGACTTCTCAGCTGTAAAGTTTCTTTCCTAAAATCATGTTTTAGGGTTTCCACCCTTACACTGACAGTATGAACCGTGGGGGGAAAAAATTGCTAAGGTCCATTACTCATGTCCTAGATACGTACCAAACTGTATCTCATTGCTTCCACATCTTTATCCTATTGTTGGTCCATACTTTATGGGCCTTTTTGCGCAGGCTTTCCAAGCAGCTGCGGTATAAAAAAGGGAAAGAAAAAAACCTCAAATATTTTAGTCTCTTCTCACATATTTTCTCACAAGATAGATGATGTCTCACAGTTGCTGCAGCTTCTGACAAAATATACCTGTGCTCTCAAATCAAATAAGTATCTATAACGTTTGCAGCACCATGTAAGGAACTATAGTGGCACTAGTCCATCATAAGAGAACAATGTTGACAACTGTAGTGTTAAGGCAACAGGTCTCAAACTTTAGTGGGTATCCAAATCACTTCGAGAGTTTGTTAAAACACAGATTGTAGGGCATCTCACCCCTGAGTTTCTGATTCAGTAGGTCTGTGGTAGGCCCAAGAATTTGCATTTTCTCAAGTACCCAAGTGATGCTGATGCTGCTGGACTGGGGACCACACTTTGAGAACCACTAGTGTGACACACTGTTTAAACGCTGGGAGGGAAGGGGGCTGGGAGGAGGCCACAAGAAGATGTAACAACTTAATCCCTAGCAGAGGTTAGAAGAAGGCTTCACAGAGAAAAGAACGCTTGGGTTTAAATATTTGACATTCCTCAAAATAACAGATCAGAAGAATGGCAGTACTGGAATTTTAGAACTGTTCTGTGCAAAACTAGTCCTTTACACAGTTTTTAGTAGGTAAAATTTCCTTAGCATAATTCTGCCATTCTACCGTCTTTTTGACAAACTTTTAAGAAGTTTCCATTTCCTTACCTATCTGTTCATTAAGCCTTACCAAAGTAATACTAAAAATGGTTTACAAACTTTGACTTAAAATTTACGTCTTAGATGCCAGCACCAGAAAGGGTGTGAGGGGCTTTTTGTTGCTGAGTCCTGGGGAAAGAAACTACCTAGAAGTCAAGGAAAAAGATAGAGAATAGATTTCTCAAGTACACTGGTAACTATTACACACAATGTGGATTACATGGATATACAACATCTACATATCAGGACACAGAATGAATTTAAAGTATAGACCAAAAAAAAATCACCACTGATTTTTTTTATTCATCCTGTAGCTGGATGTTGGCTATTTTTGGCCAACTCCCATTAGACTCCTCTTTAAACATAAATTTATTTTCATTGGCCTCCTGGTGGGAGCACCTCTCTCTGCTACTTCGCCTGTAAAATTGTAACCAGCCCCAAGTTATCAGCCTCCTGTAAAGCCCTAATTCCCAATCTATCCTCACCAACAAGCACATCTATTATGTTTCCCCATAGATCTCTAATTTTGAAATATTTTGCAACTGCATTTATCAAATAATTTTCCTATTTTTAAGTATACACTTAACTACCAATCAGAAATCATAATTAGATGAGAGAACCAGGACTCAGTTGACAAAATTCAAGCCAAAAACAAAGAAATTTAATATTTTAGTCTTCTGATGGGCAAAAGTTTGTTTTATGAGCTTTCTGAAACACTTAAAAGTCTTTAAAGAATCTCAAGGACTACTGGATTTCCTTCAATCCTAAAAGCTGATAAAAACCCATTTACTAACAGATCTTTTTTTCAATCACTAGAGCACAGATTTGTCTTTTTACTCATTAGTCCACAGACTGTATTTTTAACTAATAATTATTAACTTTAAATATATAATCCATAATTTAGGGATAAATGCTAGCAAATCCACACATACAAGCAGCAAGGATCAGATTTAGGTTAGGGCATTAATCCCAGCTAGCTCCTAGAATGACCCTGTGTAAAGGCCTTGGTCTCTTATTGTTTTTTTTTCCTTTTCAAATACATTCCACATGGCTGAGAAACCAGTCTGAAAGAAAGCTCAGCAGGGATCTCAGATAAAGCAGAACTTTCTGGGTTGGAAAGAAATGAAAAAAGCATTTAAGAATAGAAAGAGTAGATGTGTGGTGCATTTTTATTTTAAAATCTCCACTGAAAGACAGGTTAGATTTTTTGTTTGTTTTTTTTTTGAAAGTTGGTAGGCTTGTTCACTGATGCTAAATGGAATAGCTTTATCAGCTGGGGCTCCTGTCACCCTGACAAGGCATTACTGAATGCAGTGAAGCCTGATTTTGGATTCTGGTTTGGTACCCACTCCCCATCCTCTCAAGCCCTTAGCTGTTTCTCCCTCAGAAATTTCAATCTGCAGGTATCTGACTGAAAAGTACTTAAGGGTCACAGTCACAGTGTCAACAATTTCACCAGATTACTGCAATTTAAAACATGAAAAATTACATTTCGCTTCAAATCACACTGGCTCCACCAATCTGCAAGAATGATGTTGTGATAAATTCAGAGGTTTAGGATTTCATAAAGATTACTTTGTGTAAGATATTCCCAACAATCTGAAACTGATTTGCCAAAACAGCAGCTTTTTCTAAAACGCTTTGTGCTAAACTTGCAATGAAGCTTTCATTCCTAGCAATTATCTTTCAAGAAGCCCTTTAACAGCTTGCTCCCCCTTCAGAGGAATCATCCAGGCCACCCAGGTGAAAAAATAGCTCTTGTAAATTCAAAACAGTGCCTAGGTCAGTGGCTCTCAACCCTGACTGCACATTAAAATGATCTGGGTAGCTTTTTAAAAATAACTATGCCCAGCCCTTTCTGATTAATTGGTCTGGGATGGGAATTTGGCAAAGTATGCCTTAAAAGCTCCCCAGATGATTCTAACGTGCAGACAAGAGTAAGAACCATTAGCCTACAACATGAATGGCTTGGGCCCGGCTTCCATCAACACATTTCTTTTTAGGGTCTTAATATGAACCAAAAGCTGTGAAGCACATTCTCTTCAGCCCAAGGGCTGATAATTTTTTTAAAAAAAAACAACCTGATAACAATTTATGTTTACAAATTATTCACATAAAAATAAAATGTCCCACTCCCATGATCCTCTTCATTAAGCCACATTCAATTCTTGCTGTCAGGATAAGTTCTCCGAAATCATATTTAGGCTCTATAAACCACTGATATCTTCTAAAAACCCCAATATCTCAGCACCCAGACTGATCTCCCAGACTGCCTCCTGCACCTTAGACAATACAAAAACTTGTCATATCACACCTTTTACTTCTTGGTTCTGAAAAATAGTATTGCCAGATGTACCTGTAGTGTCAACACCTTCCTTTTTTTCTGTCTAACCTTCAAAGGCCACAAGTCCCTTTTCTCCATAAAGCCTTCCCAGGTCACTTTGGGCCCCACTGATTTCTTCCTTATATGAATTTACAGTCTCCACCACGTTTTGGCACCTGACGTACTTCCACTTAACCTTTCATCCACTTTGGGACCTGTTTTCCTAAGCACCTTGGGGACAAGAACCACTGCTTACACTTTTTTTTTTTTTGGTCTCACAGTTCCCAGAACAAGGGCTAACGATATATGTTTGTTTTTCCACTATCAAGGTGTAACTTTCAGGCCCTCTTTATCGCTCCAACTCTTTATGTTGAGATCTCACCTCAACTCTAAAACTCCCTTTACTCCAGCTAGGGCATCCATTCCACCACACGTTCTCAGGTACTATTACTGACTTTCGAGTTTTGAGATTCTACAACGTGTGCTACACAAAACCAACCACATTCCTGTCCTTGATGTTTCGGGTTTTTTTTTTTTTCACTGTTCTGCCCAATCTCCTTTACAATTTTCCTCCTCCCTCCCCTCAAAATCCAGAAGACCCTTCGACGTGGACAACTTCCACAAACAAGGTTTCCTTCCAACCAGCACCGGCTCTCTATCCAGCCCCATTCCCCGCTCGAGGGCCCATTTCTGAGCAACCGTTCTCCTTCCCTAACATGGCCGCCACAAAGCCCAGGGAATGCACAGCGAGTTCCACCCACGCAAGGCGGCCACTAGCGTTCTGGGGGCCAGAGGAGGACGGGCTAAAAGAAGACGGGCCCAGGGACTACGAAGATCCGAGAAGGGAGAGCCCAGAAGACGCACGGCGAAGCCCCAACCCCACGTTCTGGCCAGAAGCTGGACCTCCGTGACAGGAAGTGGGGGCCCCGCCCCCTCGCGCGTCGGGGGCCGGAAGTGAGCGTTGCTAGGGCCCGGATGTCGGGCGAAGGCTGCCGCCGGGAGAGCTCGTCTGACTGAGGTAGGAGAGGGGACCGGCCCTGGGTTGGGGCCTCCCAACAGCCCCCGTTTAGTGCCCTGGGGTACCTTCACCACCTAGTATCTTCTCTTTTCCCTTCTCTGCTGATGGCCTTCAGCCTCGTGAGTTCCCAGCGCCTCTTGTTTGCTTACCGGTGGTTCCGCCACCGCTTCGTCCCCGCGAGGGCCTCCCTGCCCCCTTTGTCTACGTACTGTTAAATTAGCCACCTTCCCATCCTCTCCTGTTTAGTCCCTTTGCTGAAATCTACTCTGATTGTTTTGTTTAAAGGAAGAAAAACGATTGTTTTACTGAGCCCCCAGCTCTGTTAAGAGTTTAACCAGTTGCTTCAGACTACGTCTAGCCCCCAGACTTGACCGCTTCGTGTAGTTTGTCCGTCTCACCGCGCCCCGGTACTAGGGAGAAGGTAAAGAATCACCTGCTGACAGGTTGCTGTGGAAGACCCTTAAATGGACACGGCTGAGGGATGAGGCTCTGGATTCCAACGCGCCTAATCTACCGTAATTAATCTTTTTGGCCCCAAAGGATAAGGCGGCTTCGTACAAGATGCTGAATCTGGCGCTGATCACTCCTCTAAATGCCTTAAAATCAAGGGACATAATACTTGGTTCCTCCCTCCAAACCTCTTTTCTTTTTATTGAAAAAGTATCAAGTAACTGGGTATAAGTAAAACACGTCAAAAGGAAGATCAGACTTTCTTAATCCAGACGTGGAAAATGTTTTTTATGACAGTTTCACTAAGGATCGTTGTTAACAAGTGGGCTCTGCAGCAAATTGCCAAAGTGGAGTTCCAGCTGATCACTGATTTCCTATCATAGGTTCCAAGGCTGCTTATGTCATAGAATGGGGGGAAGGACTGTGGAATTGTATGAGGGGCCAAAGGAGAGCTTGCTCTAGAGACAAGAGCTGTAAATCTAGCCAATTTTCAGAAGTTTCCTATGGGGATGGTTTTATATAAATTTTAATTCTTTCCCATAATGACAAGTTTGTTTAATCACAGTGTTCAATAGGCGGGATCTCTAGGAGAAGAGGATTCAAACTACAAAAACTTTTCTTGTCTTTTAATCGTCCATGTATCTGGTACAGACTTGTTCTTTCACGACTGTTTTATCCGTAAAATGGACAGTTTCTTAAATCCTAACATTCGGAAGTTTTCCCTCAATGCATAGAGGGAATGAGTATTAACTGGAGACACTTAAATAACCAACTCTCCCTATTTTAGCAAAGGAGGTTGAAGGGAGAGGGGAGGTGAAGCATCACTGGAACTTCCTGATTATGTTGAAGAAAAGTCATGGTAAACTAGAATGTCTCTGGGCTTATTGAACGGATTAAGTGTATACTGTCTGACATAGGCTTCCAGCATTTCCACATCCCAGGGGAGAGTAAGGCTGGCAGCCTGCCTGTCCTGTATTTTTCAGAACTTGAGAGGAGAGCTTTAAAATAGTGCCCTATTCCTCTGTTTATCCTGAAGTGTAAATAACAGTATTGTTGTGGTCTTGCCCCCACTAACGTTAATTAGCATCACACCCTAATAGATGGTAAACAGGCTGTTGTAATGGCACTTAAAATAGACTGACATCTTGTCCCTTGAATGCAGTTTAAATTAGTAGTCATATTTGGTTTTTCTTAACTATTTGTGAGCCCTAGAATTTATTCCAAGACTGTGAATTAGGCAATGATGTTAAAATGCTTCGAAGTAGTGAAGAATGCTTTAAAGGGGAGGAAATATTTGGGGGAGGAGAGGCTAAGTGTTTCTTGTATTTAACTTGGTTAGCGTCAATTCCAGTTTGACTCCACTTCTTAGGGCTACTTTTTGGTACATTTTGTTTCCGATTCCCTGAACCACTGTTTGTTTGTTTTTTTCCAGCACTTGGATTCAGCTTCTTCATTTCCATCATGGAAAAAACTTACAGTATGTGCTTCTTGTTGCTTTTAAAAAATAAGTTAAATTACTTAATATAGTTTTATATGTCTGACAAGACTTTTAGTGTGTTGGGAAAGATTCACATCTCTCCCTAAACTGCTGAGAAGATCGATGTCATAGTAATGTATAGAAGTGCCCAAATTTGAAATAAGACTCTTGAAATGTAATAGAGAGGTATGAGAAGTCATCAAACTTTGAAAAAGCAGTTGGAACACCTGTGTTAAACTATATTTTTTTTAATGAAGCCTTTTTAGTTCTTCAGGACTTCACTATCTCCTGTTAATGACACAGAGATAGTAACCTCTGTTTTCTTTCTCTTTTGAGGGATAATATGGAATACATAATGATGGTGATGCACGTTGAGTTGTTAAGATTAAAGAAGTCCCGGGAAGGATTCTTATTTCTCAAGTGATCCAGGAACCTTAGATGGCCCAAGAAGTCAAAAGGGAGCCAGCACCTAGAATCATACAAGTGTAGAACCAAGAGAGACCTGAAAAATCATTTCATTTAACACTCAGATTTTACAACTGAGAAAATAGAAGGTTACATAGTTAGGGACAGAGTCAGAACCGGAGTCTTATATGTTGTTTATATGTTGTGCCCTACTTGATACCACAAGGCCCTGATCAAGTTTGAGGAACATCTGAGTCAATGAGTGGATGAAACTTGTTGACAGGGTCTGCTTTGTTTCCCACTTTGCTGTCTTGTTCAGAATCTCTTTATGCTTGATAAGTTCTGGCCCCGTGACCGAGTGGTTAAGTTCACACACTCCGCTTTGGCAGCCCAGAGTTTTGCTGGTTCGGATCCTGGGCGCGGACATGGCATCACTCATCAGGCCATGCTGAGACAGCATCCTACATAGCATAGCCAGAGGCACTCACAACGAGAATATACAGCTATGTACTGGGGGGATTTGGGGAGGAGGATAAGAAGAAGAGAAAAAAAAAAAAAGATTGGCAACAGCTGTTAGCTCAGGTGCCAATCTAAAAATAAAAAGTTCCAACTAAAGGATATTTTAGTCCCATTCTACCTTCAAGGAAGAGTCCAACAGAATCTTTATCACCAACATGTAGAAACTACATGGAAGTAGTTTTTATTAAATATCTCCAACAGAGGTTTTCAAACTTTAGTATGCACCAGAATCACCTGGGGGGCTTGTTAAAACACAGGTTGCTAGACCCCACCTGCAGAATTTCTGATTAGGAGGTCTGGGACCCAAGAATGTGCATTTCTAACATGTCCCCAGGTGATGCTGCTGATCTGAGGACCACGCTTGAGAATCATTGATCTTGAAGGCTGATTCTTCCTTGATCTTCTTTAGGGCTCCCTCCCCTATTTGTTTAATTTTTTAAAAATATTTTTATTAAAATCTGAAATTCCCATGTGAGACAGATTTATATTTATTCTTGAAAACTTACTACGCTCTATTAAATTGGAAAGCAACGAGTCCCCTTTATGTCCCTCATTCTTTAGTTACTTTTTTCAGCTATAATTTTTTTCTTAGGAAAATATCACCTGGGAGTGTGTTAGAAATGCACACTCTCAGGCCCCATCTCAGACCTACTGAGTCAGAATCTGCATTTTAACACATTCCCCAAGTGATTTAACACCTGGGGATCATGGTAAAGTTTGAGAAATGCTGCTTTAGAAAATACTTGACCTTTTTCCCAAATTGACCTAACACTCTAACCTTAATCTGAGAGATTCCTCGAGGTCTCCAGCTTCTGTCTTTGGGCTCTACCTCTTAGCTGATCACACTTTTGTCAAGTCTAGTTCCTTATTTTCGTGAAGTTTCCTCCATTTTGCACCATGGCTTCTAGGCCCCATCTGAGTGTGAGGAATAACTGAGTCTATTTGGGAGGAAGCTTGTCAACGGGCTGCTTTGTTTTCCAAATTAAGTTGTATTCCCAGAAAGCCAGACAACATTTTTGCTGAGTAATTTGATAGTAATTATTACAACTTTAAATGCACATATACTTCAGTGCAGCACTCTTAAGCATCTGCCCGAGAGAAATACTGATACAGTGCACAGAGCAGTATACACGAGGTTGGTAGTCAGGGCATTGTGTATAGTAGTAAAACACTGGAAGCAACCTAGCTGTCCATCAGCAACGGGACTGATTAAGAATCGATGGTACATCCATATGCAGCAATTAAATATTCCTTGTGTGTACTGACATAGAACGAGCTCCAAGATGTGTTAAGGAAACAAAAAGCAAATAGCAAAACAGATACAGCAGATCCTGTCACATGCTACGATATGGATGAAGCCTGAGGACGTTATGCTGAGTGAAATAAGTCCCTCACAGACAAATGCTGGATGATTTCGCTTACATGAAGTCCCATCTCTAGAATAGTCAAACTCATAGAAATGAAAACTAGAGTAGTGCTTGCCGTGGGTTAGGCAGAGGAGTTGTTTTATGGGTATAGAGTTTCAGTTTTGCAAGGTGAAAAAGTTCTGGAGATTGGCTGCACAACAATGTGAATATACTTAACACTACTGAACTATACATTTAAAAATGGTTAAGATGGTAGATTTTGTTAGATATTTTGTCGCCATTAATTTTTTAATTAAAAATAAAGTAAAATTTTTTAAATCGAGAAAGTCACTTTAGAGCTGACCTGTGTTACCAGAGACCAAGAAATGAAGCATTCTGGTAGGAAGCTACCATTATCAACTCTGATGTATGCCACTGTACGGGCAGTATAATGTGTATGAATCATAAGATACGTCCAGTCTGTCAGCTGCTGACATGGCCTAACATTTGTTAGTGATGAAATGGATTAAATGCAGGGAAACTAATAAGAATTTCATCTGTAAACTCTGTCTGCATGTCCTGAAGCTTTAGGAGTGTGAAAAAATTGCTGATCAGGATGAGCCTGGTTGGCATAACAAGCCTGCCTGTCCTCTAGGACTTTTCTCCTTCCTAGTCATTCTGTCCTTCAAGTCACCTTTCTGGCTCATTTGCATCACGATCGTGGTTAGCAATTTATTCCATGTTTACCGCTCTTTCAGTGAAACTGTCTGTTTCAATTTCCCACTGGCTTCTGATTTTCATAGCAGTCTCTTGGTTTATAAGCTTCTTATCAAATGTGAATTGTTTATCTTATTTCACTTTTATCATAGCCTTCAGCGGTGGCAACAGCATTTTATTAGGTTACCTCTTGTCCTCATAATATACTCAGAATGTGCTTAACCGTTTAATTTCCTTTGCTTAACCAGGCTTGTTAAAATTTGGGGCTCAGCCTGGGCATCTTGTAAAGCCTAAGGGTAGTTTTACATGTTCAGAGAAACTCCTCTAGTAGCGAACTATGGAAATGATCCCTGAAAGTATAGTCTTCTAAGGGTAGTTTTAAGTAGTATGATATAGGTTAGGGCTTTCTTTCACATAGCAGCTCCAAGTGCCTGTAGTTGTCTTAATCTTAGGAGGTTCTGTTTTTGCAGATTATTCTATTTTTTAATCTGGCTGATTTGATCACTAGATTAAAGAGTTCTCCTTTTTCTCATCTGTGTTCCAAAATATGGAAAGTAAAACCACCTATCTGACAAAGATAATTGGTTTCATTTGAGAGGTGCCTAGAGTAACCAAGATCAGGAACTACTTAACAGTAGTAAGTTAAAGCAGACAGATGAGAAAGAAATCATCTGTCAACTGATGTTTCTCAAGCTTTCATAGAACATATAGTGGTATAGAGCAGTACTTACCAACTTTTTTCATGTCATGGCATACTAGTAGACAGGGATATTGGTGAAGAGGATTAACTACCCTCAACTTTCTCTAGGACTAGTAGAGGATAGGGAGCACATGAGTGCAGTGGACCCTCATATCAGTTTATTGGCACACCATCCATTCCAGACTTCAGCATACTGGTTGGGAATCTCTGGTTGGACCAGCTAGAGATTGGAATGACCCTGAATTATCACTTTTACAAAAGAGAAAGAGGCTGTCACTTCATTTAACTTTTTGTTTTATAGTAAGTATAACCAACAATAAAAAGAACAACGTGGGGCTGGCCCCGTGGCTGAGTGGTTAAGTTCGCGCGCTCCACTGCAAGCGGCCCAGTGTTTCGTTGGTTCGAATCCTGGGCGCAGACATGGCACTGCTCATCAAACCACGCTGAGGCAGCGTCCCACATGCCACAGCTAGAAGGTCCCACAACGAAGAATATACAACTATGTACCGGGGGGCTTTGGGGAGAAAAAGGAAAAAAATAAAATCTTAAAAAAAAAAACAATGTTTGTGTACGACCAAATATGAACTAAGACCCCATCCCATGATTGCTGGTTTTGCTGGACTTATTAAGGTTCAATAATAGCATAGTTTTGTCTTTTCAGAGTTACATTTTCATTTTCAAATGTTTGGTCACCCTTTTTAAAAAATTCCAAGTTGTTAAATTGCCTTGTTCTATTCTTACAGATTCTGTTGAAAATTCCAGTGTACCTGGAATACTGTAATTTTACCTTGGCCTGTTAAGCTTTATAGTTATCCTGTTTTTCTCTCTTTCAGTCGATTCCCTGGACCCTGAAAAGCTATTGCAATGCCCCTATGATAAAAACCACCAGATCAGGGCCTGCAGATTTCCTTATCATCTTGTCAAGTGCAGAAAGGTAGGGTATTATTTTCATCATTTGCCCTGTAATGCCCTCCTGAGTTCTTTTAAAAAGCTAAATTTTGTAAATATCAAATAATTTCAGCATAAATGTTTTAATTGAATGCCAGAATTGTTTTGGGATTCTATCTTTGTGTTAAATAATAACATTTATAGAAAGGAGTTTATTTCTTGGGTAAATAAGTTTTTTCTTGTTTTGGCACTTTATAAACAGCTTCTCTGGAGTCTTCCCACCCTTCATAAAACAAAGGAAACGCTAATTTTTGCTAGCAATGAGAAATCCCTCTTGACTTGTGAATTTGCTGTTTTTATTGTCCTATTAAGGATTGAGTGCTATGGTACACTTCTGATTTTTTTGTTTATAAATTTTAGAGAAGTTGAACAGTTAGCCCAAGAAAAGATTATTCCTAGAAGTAACTTTCTCCAGGTTTCAACAGCATCTTTGGGGGAAAAAAAACAACTCATCAGAGTTTTTTTCTCTGGTCACTCTGTAGACTTTGCTGATGTAAACTCCTTTAATGCCGGTATATTCATTGAGGTGCTTTGAAAGGTTTGTTAGAATACACGTCAGATACAGAGGTCAGAGTTCTGCCAGGATTTATGCTTGGAGAACAATTTTGGTATTTAATCCAAACTGCATACAATTCATGTATGCATTAACGTCCTTTAACGGGTGTTTCTTTTGCAGTCCTGGAGACACAATTATAATGCCATTGTTGATTATTTCTCCAGCTCTCTGTAATCCCTAGAGCAAGGATCCCTTAAGGTTGAACCTGGACAGTACGGACCAGCAGATGTCACCACAACTTTCTCCCCTAGCCTCTCAAATATCCAAGGATAAAGGTTGGGAAAGGAGCCAGGCAGTAGAAAGACATTGTCATGACTCCCCTGTTTTAATGCTCTTAATCTTGGGCCACAAAATTTTTGCGTTGGAATGCCTGACATCCCTTATGAAAATTGTGGAGATGACTGCCCTCCCAATTTTCTCCATCCTCTATTTCTTTCCAGCCTTCTCCCCACTTCACATTGTTTTTATTTGGGTATCATTTGTAATATATCTGTTGCTTCTCCTAATAAATAAATTTCTTAACTACAGGTATATTTACCATAGGGTGTAGGTGATATTCAACACTTTGTTTTCTTGTTTTGTTTTAAAATACGATCTTGGTCAGCAAAGTAGACATTTGGCTTTCCTTAGTGAAATAAAGGTCAAATTGTTCAGAGCCTCATTTCAGGCATCATTACTCTAAATAAACATTCCTGTGTTAATCTGAAAAATCATTGGTTTGCCTCTTCTGAGGCTCCCTTCCCACAGCTATTTTCTAGCACTCATTGTTTTACAATAGCAGGGCCACTACTGCAGTGCAGACTGAGAGTGGGCTTTAATGTTACTGTTCATCCTGAATACCAGCTTTCAAAGACATCCAGAGAGCTCTACCATTACCTGAATCTTATAACCCTGAGAAATAAACGGGGGGAGAAGATATGGTTCCAATACCCAATCCTAAATTCACTGTTTACTTCCATATAAGCCAATGTCACCAAAATATCTGTTGTCAGTCTCTACAGTCACAACAAACAGACTTAACATTTTGATGATTTTGAAGTAATGTCTGTATAGTCTGTATGAGTGATAAATAATCCCTCTTAATTTTCTACTATGAGTTTACCTACTATAGTGAAGCCACAAGTTATTAAGAGATTTTAGAGAAGCCATTTATAGAGTAAGGCTGAGCTGCCTCCTTTGGACTTTAAGAGATCCAAAGAACTGACAGACTTCTTAATTTTCGTTCCACAGAATCATCCTGATGTTGCAAACAAATTGGCTACTTGTCCCTTCAATGCTCGCCACCAGGTTCCTCGGGCCGAAATCAGTCATCATATCTCGAGCTGTGATGACAAAAGTTGTATTGAGCAAGATGTTGGTATGACTGACTGACTAGCTAAAATGTTTCAGTCCTAAGGTTTAGCTCCTTCACATTTGCATTATGCTACATTGTCACCTTGATTTTTGACTTTCATCATTTCAGAAGAACAATATTTTTCTGCCTTTGAGTTTTGTGGGTTTTTGGGGTTGGGTTTTTTTTTTTCACTTTTTGGTGAGAAAGATTGGCCCTAAGCTAACATCTGTTGCCGGTCTTCCTCTTTTGTTTTGTCCCCAAAGCCCAAGTATGTAGTTGTATATCCTAGTTGTAGGTCATTCTAGTTCTGTGTAGGATGCCGCCACAGCATGGCTTGATGAGTGATGGGTAGGTCCACACCCAGGATCCAAACCAGGGAACCCTGGGCTGCTGAAGCGGAGCACATGAACTTAACCAGTCAGCCTTGGGGCCGGCCTCTCAGATTTTTATCTCACCGGCAGATGTTGTCAGGTTGTGTTTGTCAGACTACTTTCTCTTCTGAACAACCTGATTCATTTTACTAATAATTCATCAAAAATAAAAATCCTTTTATTGCCATAGACGTGGTAAACATCTTTATTTCTGCTTCTATTTCTTGTCTTCTGTCAGCAAGGAGATAAGACCTCTCTGTTTAGCTTTCATACCATCCATTTTTCAGAAACAAAGACCCATTAGGCTACCGTGCAAACTTTTAAGCCACTAACCCCTTTAAACGTAACTCGGCAATGTCCCCTTCTTACGTCAGAATCTCTCTTGTAGTCAACCAAACCAGGAACCTTGGACAAGAGACTCTGGCTGAGAGTACATGGCAGTGCCCTCCTTGTGATGAAGACTGGGATAAAGGTGAAGGGCCTCTACATCTTTTTCCTCACAATGTCTAAATCTCAAGTCATTTGCTTTGGACAAAAGGAAGATTTTCCTTTTCTGTGAACAAATAACATTGTTCAAAACGCCTTATTTTTATTGGGCCCCAAAATGAGCACATTTGTATTGTTGTGCAGACACATGGAACAACCTATCTCTCTTGATTGGTAAAAGCACTTCTTATATCTGTTTTTTTCCATAAATTGTGTTGGACCATCTGTGTTCGGTTGTTACTAGACATGTTTATTATTATTTATGTTGCTTGTGTTTATATCCTTCAATTAAATTCCTGCTACTGTGTCACTTAGGCAGGTACTTGATCAATTTTTACTTCTCTAAACTTGGATGTATTATTTCCTGTCTTACAAATTCAACTAGCACGAACAAGTGTCTTACCTAGTAGTAACACAAACTATGTTTTGCTTTGGCAGATTTGTGGGAACAGACCAGCACCCCATTTGTCTGGGGTACAACCAACTACTGTGGCAACAACAGGTAAAGGAACAGGTCTCGTTCCCAGCACCGCCTCCCAAAATCAAAGTGCTGTCTTACCAAAAGAAGCCAGCAAAGCATGAATTGGCCTGTTTTCTTGATGATGTTACTTGGTGGTAACTTAGTCTAGATATTGTTTTGGTGGGTTTTTTTCCTTATTTATTCCTTGATTCATAAAAAGATCACATGCTTTGTGTTAACCACTGTGGGAACACAAAAATGCTAGCTTATAGTCTAGAAGGGAGACAGTGGCGCCAGGCATTCTTATGTCTTAGTTGGGTTTTTTGTTAGGTTCACATTATTTTAATGCTTTGAAAAAATTCTCCAGCTATACCACATGGATGATTTTTACTCTAGGTATCTAGTGTCTAAGGTAAAAGTAATCTTAAAAGTTCTTGATTTGATGGGGCTGGCCCCGTGGCCGAGTGGTTAAGTTCGCGTGCTCCGCTGTAAGCGGCCCAGTGTTTCGTTGGTTCGAATCCTGGGCGCGGACATGGCACTGCTCATCAAACCACGCTGAGGCAGCGTCCCACATGCCACAACTAGAAGGACCCACAGCAAAGAATATAGAACTATGTACCGGGGGGCTTTGGGGAGAAAAAGGAAAAAAATAAAATCTTTAAAAAAAAAAAAACTTCTTGATTTGGGGGCCAGCCCAGTGGCGCAGCGGTTAAGTGCGCACGTTCCACTTTAGCAGCCCGGGGTTCGCTGGTTCAGATCCCGGGTGCAGACAAGGCACCATACTGTTGTAGGCGTCCCACGTATAAAGTAGAGGAAGATGGGCACGGATGTTAGCTCAGGGCCAGTCTTCCTCAGCAAAAAGAGGAGGATTGGCAACAGATGTTGGCTCAGGGCTAATCTTTCTCTAAAAAAAAAAAGTTCTTGATTTGATAGTGGGCAATCCAGAGTACCTGTTGGGTAGGGAAAAAAATGTACTTCTTCTTCCTACTGATTTTGTATCTAGTTTAAATCTATAAGATTTCTCTCATCTTTGAAGATGAGAAATCTTCACACCTTAGAAGATCAAGTTTCAAACCCAAACGAGAATATTTCTGGGTTAGAAAATGAAGGAATGAAATGCTAGACTTTATTTTTTTCCCCAAATAGAATGCTTATCAATTTTTATGTCTTAGTTCCTGAAGTCAGTTAGTAAATGTACCTTATTTTGTGTGTGCACTGAGATAGAAATCCTTAACGATGAATTGCTTTCGCACAATTGTAATTTTACCTCAGTTCTATGAGATTTGTTGCCTTTGGTTTGGTTGTCTTGGCATTTTATTTTGTCTCTTACATTTATTGAGTGAGTTGATGAGCCTGTCATACAACTGAACAGTAGATGGCATTGCTGTTTATCTCAATTTCTGGAAAATGAAAATGGTTAGACCCATCATAATGCCTGTACTGAACAGAGAGCTTTCCAGAGAAGTGGTAATCATTCTGATTGCAAGACTGTTTTGATGGAAATGTGTTTACATTTCAGAATGTAGGTTGTTGTTTTCCTCCAAATTAGGAAAAACACATTTTGATTGTCTTATATGTGCCTGCCTGAAGAATACAGATATGCTGACATAGTCAATCTGTCTTTCTTTTTGCAGCCCTGCAAGCAACATAGTTATGGAACATAAGAGCAACCTGGCTTCAGGCATGCGCGTTCCCAAGTCTCTGCCGTATGTTCTGCCATGGAAAAACAGTAAGTGAAATAGAGGCAAAGTGCTTTTACTCTTTTCATTGTGCTAAATACCATTGATTTTGATGATTCAACACCATGTTCAATCTGAACACCTTGCACTCATGTAACCCTGAGAGTGAGTGCCTCCTGAAGTTTTGCACCCTAAGCACCTCACTCACTTCACCCTAGTCCTGGCTCTGGTTAGTAGCAGGAAATTATGAACAGGAAAGTTCAGGATCACAGAAGCCAAAAGAATATTTTCAAGATGGTTGACCACTGACATGAAATACCATGGGGAAATTTAGGGACTAATAAAAAGGCTATTGCTTTTGACTAGAAGAAAGTCATCCCTGACTTTCAAAGCATAATATCAATAAGGACTTGGGATTAGAAGTTGGATTTCAGGGACCTAAAAGGAAATGGATAGAGACAAAATGAAATTAATAAGTCATAAGATCCAGCATAAGAATGGCATTCACATATCTTCCCTAGATATCAGAGGCCATGCTGAGTGAACAGCTACTAAATTCATATCATACCGCCCTGGTAAAGGAATTCTCATATAGGAAATACTCAAGATATTGTCATTTTTATTTAATACAAACTTTCTTTTCCTAATGTCGCCCCCAAATTCAAATTACCTTGATTTCTCTCTTTGCTACTGTTTGAGCTAATTTTTAGGTGGCTAGAGGATTCCCTTTAAAACATTTCCTTTTGGATACTTGCGTTTCCCAAAAAATGAGATCACCAAATCGTATGCCAAAAGGCTTGATAGGTAAAGGACTGTTTTCTTTTCCCATGCTCTTGAGTAGAATTCAATACTAATTTTAAATTCTACTTTTATGTTGTAATTTAGTATACTCCAGGAATAACTCCTTTGTGTTTAGTAAGAATAGAGGATGGAGTGAATTTCAATTGACATGGTGTATTTATTTTGAAATATTTCTACTCCATAGATGGAAATGCACAGTAACTGAGTAGCTATCTCATCAAGTAAGTGTTTCAGTTTTATTTCACTGTCTCTTCAGATGGTAGCAAGATTTAACTGGACATAAAGCAATTTGGGTCCAATTTTCTTTTAGATTATGGTACCAAATTAAAGCTTTGTGTGTGCCTGTGTTTTTTAAGTATATAGCCTCTTTTATGGCTTCACAAGCTAATGACTAGGCATTTACTGGTTAAATTAGAATTCTGTTAAGATGCCAAGTTGCTTTCCCTAGCATTAGTGCACATTGCCTTTTTCCTTTTTTTTTTTTTTTATCAAAGTTGCATTCTAGATCTCTCACGCCTCTTTAATGGACTGAGATTAATCAGACAGCTGTGCTTCACTGCTCTGCAATTCAGTACAGTTTAACACTCATCAAAAACTTCATCCTCTTTTTAATGAGCACTTAAAAAGTTTTGGGTCTCTAAGAGCCTTGTACTGTTGATCTTATCTGAATATTTGATTTAGCAGAACCTCACACAAGCCATATGAAGAGACCAAAATCTTTTACTTTTCACAGGTGAAGCCCTTCCTTAAGGTTTACCATATGTACCCATAGTAGAGCCAAGTTTTATGCTTCAAATGCTGTGTTGGCTGTGGTGTCCCAGCCACATTGCTCCTGGAAAAAGGGGTATTATTAGGCTGGGACTGGGATTATATCCGCACTGCCTTGCAGATAGTAGGCCTGCAGTGAATGTTTATTGAATGAATGAGTAATTGCCCTGTTGCCTTCCGGTCCATTCACTTTCTCTGGACAGTGAAGCAGATGGATCTTCTGTGACTTAGGGTTCATTTTGTACCAAAACATGTTTCTTCTGGTGAAAAGCAGAAAGGAGATTCTAAAAGTAAACACTCCTTAGCTATGGACCATAATATTTATCAGTTGCTTCTAGGTACTGCCATTTTTCTTAGTAGGTTCTGACATCAAATTGTTAAATAAATCTGGAAGCCAGAAAATTGGATTTTGCCCCAGAAGGGAAAGAGAGGCAACGGCACTGGGGTGTGTCAGGAAAGTACACACAGACCTGGATAAATGGTGAACTTTGAATCCTTCTCTGACACACTGCACAGCATGCTTGGTGCTCATACAGTATAGATAGCTACCTAGTGAAAATGGCTACTCTAAGGTGAAAGTCTAGGAGAAACTTAGTTCTCTGCACTTAAGACTAGACGCTTCTCTCTTTGGAGCTTAACTCTTTGCTGTTAAATTCTTTTTTTTTTTTTAAGATTGGCACCTGAGGTAACAACTGTTGCCAAGCTTTTTTTTTTTTTTTTAATTGCTTTTCCTCCCCAAATCCCCCCAGCACATAGTTGTATATTTTAGTTGTGGGTCTTTGTAGTTGTGGCATGTGGGATGATGCCTCAACACGGCCTGACGAGCAGTGCCAGGTCTGTGCCCAGGATCCAAACCGGTGAAACCCTGGGCTGCCGAAGCAGAGCGTGCGAACTTAACCACTATGCCACGGGGCCAGCCCCAATGCTGTTAAATTCTTTACATGCTGAAAATTTGTTTTTCTGTATAACCCTTGAGGAACAGGAAAAAGATCCTAGGTTAGGTAAGAATCCTTAAACAGCCACAGACCTCCTTATCTTCTTAATAAAAACAAAGCATCATTTTTTTGAATGCCTGTTGTTGCAGAATTCTCTAGTTTCTTTGGAAGGATACAAAAAAAATAGAAGACATGACTTACTCCCTTAAGGGACTTAAGGGTGGGTGGAGATTTTTTTGAATGCACATACATGAAAAGAATTTGTTCACCTTTCTCTTAATATGCTTTATACCATTTGTTTTTATCAACAGCTCAGTTTTTACTGGATAGGTGTCTCAAAAGCAGATAATATCATATTTTTGTTCCCCTAACATACATTATAACAGCTCCAAAAATCTTGAATTAATGAGGTAGAGTATATAAGAAGAGAAAAAGATCAATGTAAGTTAATTGGAATTTATCCAGAATTGTCTGGAGGAGTCAATTACCTGGATAGTCAATGCTGATTTTCTCCTCACTTGTGAAACTGTTGACACAAGAAATGTACATTGATCTCTCGGTAGAATGTTTTTAATTCAATTAATCAGTTTCTGTGTGCTGAGTGGCACTAAAGAGCCAAAGGCCAGAAGTCACGTGGTGTTCTGCCACTAACAGCAGCAGATTTCTCCAGCGGACCGAGAGGTTTTAATTGACTTGTGGTCGTGTGGCCCTTTGTCAGTTGTAGTTGGTGCTTTTGTCATTGAAAGGAACTAAGAACTCTTTTTTTTTTTTTTTTTTTTCCTGTTTCCTTGCAGATGCCAGACCCTGGAAGACTCTTGCTTCTTCCTGCTACCAGTGAGTTCTTCATTTTTTTTCCTCCTAATCTAATTATAGAAAGATAAACTGCCTGTGACTTTCAAACTGACAAGTACCTTTTTTTTCTCCCCCCCTTAGAGTCCTCACTCATTTGATGCAAGAAAGAACCTTCATACTCAGAAGAACTGTTTCAAATAAACCATTGATGTAGATAGCTTGATAGTTTGGTTAAATACTTGCAGCCCCAAGATCAGAAATCACATCCCATTCCACATTAGTGAAACATCATCATTTAAAGTTATCCTAAAGGATCCAACTGAAGCAGGCTAGAAACTTGGGTTGGAAAAAGAAACTGTGTATTTGTGTTCTCTGACACACATGGACCAAATTCTTTTTAGCATTTATAGGAATGGCCTTTTCTGATCAGTGCATCTGTTTATCCAGAATCTCCAAGATGTTGATAGCATTTACATAGCAAAATACCCCATTCTTGTTTAGAATCTTTAGTACATCTTGCTCCCTGAATGTTTCCAACCTAGGGTAGGTTTCCTTTGCTTCTTTTCTCTCTCCCACATCCCAGCTAGAAATTGTACTACTGTCAGACTAGGTTGGAGTGAAGGTTGGATGGAGGGGAGGAACCAGTGTACCTGTGGAGAAGAGAGCGATTTTCCACTTGTGTGTGAAATTTGATTAAACTGCAAAGCTTGAATGTGTGAGGGCTCTGTTGACTGCCCTGGAATGTGTATATAACAAGATAGATTTCTGAAACACCCCAGTCTCTGACTATCCTAACAGTTCGTCGCCCCTTACATGGAGGCTTCTTAATCTCCCCAGACCAGCGTTTTGTTTGTTTGGATTATTTTTGTTTTCTTTTTTGTTTCGTTATTTTCAGGTTTGGTTTGGTTTTAAAACTGTCTGGCATTGGGTGGGATTTGGGATCTGGTATAGATAGGGACTTGGATGAAGCATACTGACAATTCCAAAAATGATCTCTCTAGCATTGTTGGTAAGGAGCAGATAAGAGGGAGTGAGCTCGTGTGGAATGCCTCCTTCCAGTGTTTTACGCAAAACAGGATTCTCTCCTAATGAAGCAGAGCTCTCTGTTTATTTAGTTCCAATCTCTAAAAACAGGTTCAAGATAAGCCACAGTACAATAGTATTTCTGCTTCTAGCTGTGTGATCTTAAGTGAAAAACAAGACCATTTCTTTTGGAGAGGGTGGTAATATATTAAGGAGGGGAAAAAACACGCATTATGCTTGTAATTCTGGTCACTTATGTTTATCAATCAACACTTCACAACAACTTAATTTAAAAATAGTCTTATTACTGGAAAGTATAAAACCCTTTTGATTTCATTTGTTTGGGTGATGACAGAGTAAAACTGTCTGTGCTCGTAACCCACAATTCCTACCTAGTTTAGGAAAAACAAGCAAGAATGTGAGTCTCATTGCAAAGAATTAGCTGCTTGAATACAGCTCAACAAGAGAATAAAATAGAAAGTAGTTACTTTGTGTTTTTAAAATAGCTAAAGGGATGAGATAGGCTAACATCTATCATTCTTGAAAAACCTTATCTTATCACCTTAGGGGGCTACTTCTTTGCTCACAACTACAAGAACTTAATCACAAAACATCTGACCTTTGGCGTGTGACTAGCACTCACTTATAGGAGAATGCCAACCTGTGTTAATTTCGTTAGCTCACAAAATGGACAATCCTGTTGTTTCTTTAGGAAACTAGTGATTAAGGCAGCTAGTTTGGTCCAGGAGCTTTCGGTGACTGTTTAGGATTTTAATTGGGCCTGGGATTCACTAGACTGGATTTAGTTTGCTGGAGATTTTTGGAGATTCCCAAAAACTAGAACAAAGAAGTGACTATTTACTACTTCTGTCAGAAGTTGGGAGGAGAAGCTTACTTCTCTTTGAGAGCTTATTTTTCAGAGGATACCCTCTCTTTGGAATGTAAACAGTTGAATATTCTACCTTAATTTCAGTTAGTCAAGTGTTATAGTTAAAGGTTAAATGCAGAAGTGTTTCAAACATTCAGCCCAGACAGTCTTTGAGTCCTGCATTTTGCTCTTATCCAGGGTTTCCATACTCTACCCCAAGGAAAGGATTTTTTTTTGGAAGATTGCCTTTCTCTCTAGAAGTTCTAGAAGTGCCGTTATGATTTGCAAATGTTCTTACCAGGAATAAACAAATGTAGGTAATTAATGATGCTTAGCTCTCCTGGTAGCTGTACCTGAGCTAAACCAGGAGAGTCTCTGGATGTAATTTCAAATAATGTGCTGCAATACCCTTTCTTGGTGAGGCAAAACAGTACCTGCTTGCATTAGTCTCTTAGATAACATGTAGATAGCTATACTGGCATTCTTAAAGTCCTTTAGTTGTACTCTTTACGATTCCTATCAAGCTCCAAAGTAGGCAGAAACAGGAGATAACGTTATACTTACTATTACCATTTTCACAGAGGCAGGTTATAAAAATCAAGGTGACTTGCATACTACATTTTAAATGATAGCAACAGGACTGACCTTGCGAAGAAGAGACCTTTAAGAAAATATTCATTTTCTTGTGCCAATTCAATGGGTAGAATAAGGAAAACCCTACATTCCATGAGGAAAACACTGCAGTGACCGCTCATTCTCTTGATCACTGTCTTCCTAGGACTGCTAAGGTTCAGAACATATTCCCATCCTACTTTAGAGTCATGGCTTCTTCAGGGCCATTGAAGACACGTCAACCTGTGACCTCACACCAACAGTCTCAGCTGACTTTCTTTTCCAGCCATACTGAGATCTGATAAATGCAGCCTGTGTATGCACAGGGCATTCACCCTTTATACAGCACTCCCACTGCATGTCGAATTCTCTTAACTCCTATAACTGGTAGTGAGCGTTGAGACAAATATAAAATCTAAGACTGTTTATAGCTAGGAAGAACAGCATCCTAAGCCGGACAGTCACCCTAGAGAACAACCGTATGGTCAGCAGATTTGCACTTGTGTTTGCCTTATTTGAAGACTGTTTTATATGAAAATAAAATAGTCTAAGAGCCTTTGAGGAAACATAAAGACAAGTTTAGTTGTTTTATTTTACATATGTGTATATGGAGGAAATAATTCCAGATTGTATGAAAAACTGCATATGAACCCAACCATGCCTCTTAATTAGTATTAAAATAATTGTCACTGAAATAAAGTATGCCTTCCCAGTTTATCTGTTTCAGTTCTATTTTCTGAGGCTTGGATTTCAGGTTTTCATTGGACAAGGTCAGGAATTAGATTATTTAGCTCCTTGTGTTGGTTTTCTCTAGAGTAGAACTTTGTAACAGAGGTGCAAATTGAAAGTGATGGAAAGTCTTGATCTTGAGATTAGAAGCTCCATTGAGATATCCTTGTGTTGGGTTGGAGATTTCGATGGAAGAGTCAGTGTGTTAGCTTTATAAAACCCTTGAAAAATAAGCGTTGATATGGTTCCGTTAGGGATGTAACTTTGATATTCAGCTATCAGATCTCATCTACTTTTAGAGCTGGAAAGGAGCTCGGAGAACACCTAATCCAAAGCTTCATCTTACATATGAAGAAAGAGGCCCTATACAAGCATGGAATATGACTTTTTTTTTTTAAAGGAAAGAGAATGATAAACACAATATTCAAGATAGTGGTTACCTCTAGGGAAAAGCGGGGGTGAGGGGGCGGTGGGATCAGGAAAAAACACAGTGTATTAGTAGTAGTCTGTTGAATAAATTGGGTGGGGGTTTCCTGGTGTTTTTCATATATGTCTTTTAAATACTATATAATTTTAAAACACTTGAGAATAATTGCTAAAATCATTGCAGAGTGCTTACTGTAGGCAAGCCACTGTTCTTACTTAGCATTTTACATATTTTAACCCAGGGTAGGGAGAGAACAGGCCCTGAAAATTTTATCTTTGCCAGGGATACACAGCTTGTTAGTAGTGAGCTGTGACCATAATCTGGGACTTCCGGTTTCTGATTTACTGCTTTTGGCTTCTGTAAACATTCTACTTCCTTAAATATTGATTTTGTACTCAACCTCTCTTTCTCCCAGCATGTGAGTTTCCTCCTGAACTCATTTCCACATCTGCCAGCTTGGACTTCATGGTCAGTCACTTCAGTGGCCTAAACCAGCACCCTGAGAATTATTTTTTTTTTTAAGATTGGCACCTGAGCTGACATCTGTTGCCAATGTTTTTTTTTCTTTTCTTCTTCTCCCCAAAGCCACCCAGTACATAGTTGTAGGTCCTTCTGGTTGTGCTATGTGGGAATGCCACCTCAGCATAGCTTGATAAGCAGTGCCATGTCCATGCCCAGGATCCGAACCAGCGAAACCCTGGGCCACTGAAGCAGAGCGCGTGAACTTAACCACTCAGCCACGGAGGGGCCCCTCTCTGAGTACTGAACTCGTCGTTCTACTGTTTCTGCTTCACCAATTCGCAAGTCGAGTGAAACCCACCATCTCTTACACACTTTCTTCTGGGTTATTCAGCAGAATGATAGAAAAATTCTATAAATATGCCAGCTGACTCCACTGAAGATGTATGATTTCTAAACTCAGGCATTCATTCCTGTTTCGCTTTTTCAGATTTACCTGGTGACCTTTACACTCGTTTTTATTGTTCTCCTCAACTTTATAGTCCCTCCTTCACACCCCTACTTTCAGCAGATGGCTTTGCCTCTTACTCTCTAGAGAAAATATTTGTCATCAAACTTCCTCTTTTTTCCATCTCTGGACTTAACTCTTATGGCATATGTGTTTCCCTTTATCACAGAGGTATACTTCCTCTCCAAGGCTAACCTTATCCTTGTACTATATCCCAGTGTGTTATCAATGCATAATAAATTTCCCCAAAGCATAGTGAATTAAAACAATAATAAGCATTTATTACCCTCACAGTTTCTATGGGTAAGGAATTCAGAAGTGGCTCAACTGGGTAATCCTGGCTTGAGGTCTTTCACGTGGTTGCAGTCAAGATGTCAGCCAGGGCTGCAGTTTTCTGAAGACTTGAGTGAGGCTGGAGGATTTGCTTCTAAGGTGGCTCATTTACATGTTTGGCAAGTCAGTGTTGGGTGTTAGCAGAAGGCCTCAGTCCCTCCCCGTATGGGATTCTCCACAGCCTGTTTGAGTGTCCTCACAATATGAAACTGCCTTTCCCCAGAGTAAGTTGAGAGCAAGGTAGAGGCTGTAAATTCTTTTGTGACCTAGCTTCAGAAGTCACACTCCATCATTTCCACAGTATGCTTTTGCTTACATACTGGTGAGCCCTTTTCGTCGTGGGAGGGGACTTCTTAGGAGCATGAATACCAGGAGGCAAGAATCATTGGGGTCCATTTTGAAGGCTGGCTACACACCCAACTTCTGTCCTCCGATATCCTCTGTAAGTTATTCCCTCTTTTCTCTTTACCTTAATTCTATTTGTCTTTAAATCTTTTTTTCTTTATATTTTTCTTTAGTAAATAGGCTGTCTTTATTTTTTTCTCTTCTTCTCCCCAAAGCCCCCTAGTATGTAGTTGTATATTCTAGTTGTGAGTGCCTCTGGCTATGCTATGTGGGACGCCACCTCAGCGTGGCTTGACGATTGGTGCCATGTCCGCACCCAGGATCGCAACTGGCGAAACCCTGGGCCGCTGAAGCAGAGCACGCAAACTTAAATCATTTGGCCTGCCCCAATAGGTTGTCTTTAATCTTTAACTCTTTAAGCTACAAAAATGCTAAGGTTCCTTTCATTATTTAAAAAAGCATGTACTCTGTCCCCTACATTGATCAGGATTTGGTTGCAGAAAACATCCATTTGAGCTAGTCTAAACAGGTGGGGACTTTGTTATAGGGCATTAAATGAATCACAGAATTGTTGGGAAGGCTGAAGATACAAACTAGGCTGGATGTACAGAAATAACTCCCAAAGACTGCTCAGGGAGCTGCTGCTGCTACTGCAGTTAGGAAGCTGCCACTGCCACTTCAAGAAGCACACTCCTCTGCCACCGTCAGCATCCCTAAATGCATGCGCTGCACCTGTCGTAATCCCTGCTGGCTTTAGAATCGAAGTGATAGAGTAGTGCATCTGGTTGACAGAAATTAAATCACATCTGAACCCTACCTGCAAGGGAATGTGGAAAATGTAGTCTTAGCTTTCAGCTTCTGCGTGCTCGAAGAGTGTACACATAGAGCAAACCAATACGTAGAACACTCCACACTCCCTCTCGAGCTATTGCATGCTTGCTGCTTCCCTTCAGTGCCAGATTTCTTGTCAGAATTGTCTGTATTTGGTCTCCAGTTCCTGCTTCCTCCTCAATCCATCGCAGCCTGCCCACTCGGTTCTGTCTCCACTCAACCTCCTCATTTGCAGGACCAGCGATCTTAGTCCTACTCCCTTGGGCCTTCGAGGAGCAGCAGGTTATTTCTTGTGCTTGTGGTAGGAGCCATATCAATGTTAGGCACAAAAGAATTTCTCCAGGCCACTTTCCTCAAACAGGCCTTGGAGGTGCTTAGAACCTTGAGCTTCGGCAGGTTCACCTAGGCCTGCTCTTCCTCATGCATAACCTAGGTTACTGATGTCACTTTTCAGTCTGTCTTGTCAGAATTCTTCACCCTCAGTTAGTCACCACGTCCTGGCATTTCAATACCTGAGATGACTTCTGAAGCTAACCAGTTCTTTTTATCTCCGCTGCCACTGTCTTATTTCAGATAGTCATCCCTGCCTAGACGATTCCAGCAACCTCCTAAGCAGTCTTTCAGCCACCAGGTTTTCCCCATTTCAGTTTATCCCCTACCTCCCTTAGCACAGCATTCAGGATATTTAGTAACCTGTTCCCAGTTTACCGAATAGTAATAGCAAAGGCTTTTTGAGCACTTGGTATGTGCCAAGTACTTTATATGCATTATCACACTTAATTCCATGTAAGTAGATATTAGGTCCCCATTTCGTAGATAAGGAAACTGAAGATTATAGAATGTACAAGATCTGGACCAGAGTTGCTTAGTTACTATATGGAGGAACCAGAACTGGAGTCAGGTTTGCTACCCCCAAAGGCAGTATTCTTAATCCCGCTGTATTTTACAATTGCTCCAGCCCCCTCTTTCCCCACCCTGTTCATAGTCTAGCCATGGTGAACTCACCATCTCTCTAACACATTGTGCTCTTTAACGACCAAACCTTGGCACATCTTGTTTCCTAAAGTGCACTTGTTCACTCCCCTTCCCAAGGCTTTTCTGCTTAGCATATTCCACCCTCAAGTTGCAACTCAAATGTTATCTCATTGGGTAACTTTTCCAGGCTCTCTGCTCTAGGCTCCTACTGTCCTCTGTTCATGCTATTTTTAATGGCATTTATTGAGTTGTGTTGTAATTATCTTCTAAATGCCCGTATCAGGGTTTAGAACAGGAACAGAAACCGCTCTTGATATCTCAATATTTTAAGAAAAAAATTTAATACAGAGAATTATCAAGTGCTTACAGAATCATTTGAATAGCTTGAAGAGCAGGCTAAAGCTGGGGCCTCTAGGAATGACTCCCAGAACACTACCAAGCTAACCCACCAAGGGAGCTACAGCCTCTGAGGACGACTGGCATGCTGAGTTTAGGAACATAGCACCAGGCCTACAGTGCAGGAATCCGGAAGCTGCCACAATCTCCACAACATAGAGAGTATCAGACTTTTTGCAGAGCTACTGACTAATGTAAACATCCAAATGCATAGTCAGCAGGGGAAGGAAAAAGGAAACTGGGTAATCAGGACCTGGAGCATTGAGAGTTTGCCCTAGGGTATATTGGGGTTTTTGAATGTTTGCTTTTATAAGATTGAGGTCAGTTTTTTTTTTTTTTTAAGGAAATGAGTTACTTTCAAAATTCACAGAAAAAGGTACCACATGCCAACCTCCCCCTGCTCCTTAAAAAAAAGCCAAAACTTTGTTGGTACAGTACTTGAGTACTAAGTGGGCAGGGGCAGGCAACAACTACTTGAGAAAAGTGGTTATGAAAGCAGTTGAGAGAGGTGACGTTGAACTTGGAGTCAGTACAGACTTATCTTGAGTCCAAGACCAGCCCTGTGACCTTGGAAACATCAGTTCAACTTTCTGTGCCTCATTCCTCTCTTCTATGAAGTGAGGAGATTGAACTAGATGACCTTCAAGCTTCGGTCCAACCCTAAAATTTTGGTTTTTTAGTTTCAGTTGAAAAAAAGCATTTATTAAAGCAA